GTGGGTTTCGGGTCGCCATCTTTCGCACAACGCGAGAAGAAATTTGCGATCAATCCCGTATGATGTTATCTTGATGACGTGACCGAAACCCGCTTGAATCAAATACGGTAGGATAACCTCATCAGGTTCTATAAACTTATGAGAGCGTGGTTTGAAATTTTTTTCATCCTACAAAATAAAAAATAAGTAACACCATAAGTAACATCATAAATAAATTAATAGAATATAGTAACAGTTATGGTGTGTAACATTATTAGAGTATAGCATAAGTAACTTACAATAATATAATATAACATAACTATTAGAATATAACATAACTAAGTTTAAATAAATAAAAGCTAACTTACATAATTTGCAATGTTTTCAATTGTACCACGGTGATCATCTCCTAAGGTAAGTAAAACCATTTTTGAGAATGGATTTAGTTGTAGAAGTTGTTTGAAGTTGTAGGAGAGAATTATAATTGTAAGAGAGAATTATAATTGTAAGAGATAAATGTGTTTGAAGTTGTAGGAGAGAATTATAATTGTAAGAGATAAATGTGTTTGAAGTTGTAGGAGAGAATTATAATTGTAAGAGAGAATTATAATTGTAAGAGATATATGTGTTTGAAGTTGTAGGAGAGAATTATAATTGTAAGAGAGAATTATAATTGTAAGAGATATATGTGTTTGAAGTTGTAGGAGAGTATTATAATTGTAAGAGATAATTGTAAGAGATAAATAGGTAAATATGTAGGAGGTAATTAATTTTGTGTTGGTATAAAATTAAAAGGTAATTAATTTCTGCATGCATAGAGTTTGAATTTTTGCATGCATAGGTACGTGTAGGCTGCATGGGCGCAGAGTGTTAAAGACTTTGACCACCGCCTATTGAATGGGCGGCTGTGTCTCTTTTTAGCTGACACCCGTATTTGCAAAGGGCGGTTGTGCGTATCTTTTGCTGACACCCGTACCATGAATGGGCGGTTGTCTTCAGACATAGTAAATGCTTTTCAGACAACCGTATTTGGAAAGGGCGGTTGAGTGTTAAAGACTTTGACCACCGCCTATTCAATGGGCGGCTAAGTTTATTTTGCTTTCACGTGACTGCATGGCTGGTTCTACTATTTGCTTCTTATAAAATTTAGTCATACAAAATATTTTTCTTCTACCTCTATTACTCCAATTCTACTATCTCAAATTCTACTCAAACAACTTTTTCCTGCTACTACTATCTCAAATTCTTCCCAAATAATTCTACTATCTCAAATTCTACTCAAACAATTTCAAATAATTCTACTCAAACAATATTTTTCTTCTACCTCTATTACTCCAATTCTACTATTTCAAATTCTACTCAAACAATTCCACTGCTCAAATATATTAATATACTACGAGCCAAATTCTACTAATATCTCCACTTCATATTACATAATGTCTAGTGCTCAACAATATATTGTTAATGCCCGTTTTAATGGAAGTGTTGTTGTATCAGATGAAGTGGGTTTGATTTTTGAAAACACTGACGTAATTCGTTTTGCTGTTAATAGAAGATCATCATTCCAACATTTTAAAGAAAGAGTACAGATGAAGTTGCAAGCTAGATTAGTGTCACAGATGACGTACAAAAATGCCGTCCATTTCGGCGACAATCACTTTAAATTTGTTCCACTGAATATTCGTGACGACGAGGATGTTGAAACGATGTTCTCGAATCATGAACGTTGTGGGTTTTAGCACATTGATTTATATATAACATTTGCACAAGTTCAAGAAACGCAGACTTCTCAGGTGATCAATCCATCCATAATTCCACACGAAGATGTTGAAGAAGGAGACGGCGAAGAAGAAAACGAGGCACAAGTTGATGATTTATATACTACCTTGTTTGAGGAAGGGAACGAAGTCAACATAGATGATCAATGTGTTCCAGTTGAAAATGTATTCATCCCACCAGCGCATATGACAACCCTGCCACTAAGCGTAGAAGGAACATCATTTGATTGGCCACGAAATCCTCGTTTTCCCGCGGAAGGTGACATAGAAGTCGGTTACCAATTTAAAAATAAAGCTGACTGTGTCGCTGCCATTAAGCAATACCACATGAAACACTGTGTGGATTACAAAGTGATAGATTCCGACAAGAAGAGATACATAATTTGTTGCAGGAATGATTCCTGCAAGTTTCGTCTCGTGGCGTCCTACCGAAAAAGAAGTGAGTTGTGGGAGATAGGCATTATGAACCCACCCCATAGTTGTTCAACAACTTTGTTTAATCAGGATCATCAAAAACTAACCTCGCAGTTAATGTCTCAAAAGTTAATGCCTTTTGTAGACAGAGATCCTTCTATTAAGGTTAGTGTTTGCATAAGTAAAATTGTTTCCGAATTCCATTTTACTCCGTCTTACAGAAAGACATGGATAGCAAGAAATAAGGCAATTGAACAAGTCTACGGTAACTGGGAAAGCTCGTACAATGAACTTCCACATTTTCTGTTAGCACTTAAAAAATATGTTCTTGGCACTGTGTTGGAAATAGAAACACGTACGAAACTATTGTTGAAGGGAAACACATCTTCCACAGGCTATTCTGGGCATTCCAACCATGCATCAGAGGTTTTGCCTATTGCAAACCTATACTTCAAATTGATGGAACCTGGTTATACGGTAAGTACAAGGGTACACTGCTTATCGCAGTTGCACAAGATGGGAACAACAACATATTTCCGGTTGCTTTTGCCCTTGTGGAAGGTGAAACCGCTGAAGGCTGGGGGTTTTTTCTGAGAAACTTAAGGAGGCATGTCGCCCCACAACCAGATCTATGTTTAATTTCAGACCGACATGCATCAATTGAAAGTGCATACAACAATGTGGAAAATGGTTGGCACGATCCCCCTTCAGTGCATGTTTATTGTATCCGACACATTGCACAAAACTTTATGAGAGAAATCAAGGACAGGAACCTACGGAAAAAAATAATTAACATGGGTAACTATATTTCTTAATATTCATTAAATTTTGTCAATAACATATATTATTTTGTCAATATTTTAATTTGATATTTTAATTATTCAGGATACGCTTTAAATCAGCCAACATTTCATTACTATCGGTCAGAGATTGGCATGGCAAATGCAGATGCTTTAAGGTGGATTGACAATATTCCAGCCGAAAAATGGACAAGGGCATTTGACGGCAGTCGACGTTGGGGTCACATGACTACCAACCTTGTCGAGTCAATGAATGTCGTCTTTAAGGGCACACGTAATTTGCCCATTACGGCATTGGTAAGGGCAACATATTATAGACTAGGATCTTTATTTGCTGAAAGGGGTGGAAAGTGGAGTGCTGTGTTGAATTCTGGCCAAGCATTTACAGACAACTGCCTCAAGGTTATGAAAGAAGAAACAACAAAATCCAGCACGCATCAAGTCAGAATTTTTGACTACAGGAACAATGTTTTTAGTGTGCAAGAGACAATGGACCATGGTGAGGGGAAACCTATGAGACATTATAAGGTCGACCTCTTGAACGGGTGGTGTGACTGCGGAAAGTTTCAAGCATTTCGTGTCCCTTGCTCACATGTTATCGCTGCATGTTCGAATGTGCGTCACGACGCTTACGCTCTTTTGTCCGACGTTTATAGGGTTACAAACCTATTTGGGGTTTACAGCGCAAGCTTTCCAGTGATGCCATGCGATGAATATTGGTCTGTTTATGAAGGAGATCAAATTTGCCATAACCCAAGAATGCGGAGGAATAAGAAAGGTCGCCCTGTAAGCACACATATTACAACAGAAATGGATAACTTTGATAAGCTTGAGAGAAAATGTTCCATGTGTCGTCAAACGGGACACAATCGCACCCGGTGTCCCAATGTGGGAACAAGTAGTCGTTAGTCCTTTTATTAATCATCATGTATTAATTAATATTAGTTAATAATTTCAATCAATATAAATTATGTCTTCAATATATAAATTTAAATTAATATTAATAATAGTGTCACATAATACATATACTAATAAATACTAATATTATTAATATTAATGTATATTAATATTATAAATATTAATAACATTAATTTTAAAATATATTAACAATATTAATATAAATATATATTATTAATAATATTATTAATACTTATATTATTAATGACATAAATATTAATATATATTAATATTAGTAATATTAATATATATTAAAATTAATATTATTAATCTATTTTGATAATAATATATATTAATAATAATACATATTAATATTTAAAAATATATATTAAGATATATTTATAATAATATATATTAATACTTATATTATTACTAATATAAATATTAATATATATTAATATTATTAATATTAACATATATTAAAATTTATATTATTAATCTATTTTTATAATAATATATATTAATAATTATATATATTAATATTTAAAAATATATTTTAAGACAAAAAAAAATAATGAAATTCGGTCCGGTCACTGCCGCCCTTCCAATGGGCGGTTCCTTTTAAATTTAGTCATTTCCGCCCAATGAATGGGCGGCTACCTACAATCAAAAACTGTTTCGTTTTTGAAAGTATGGCATTTTGATATTTGTTTGTATAAGTGTGGTATTTTGGGGTTTATGTTCTAATAGTAGGGCAGGAATGTAAAAAATTCGAATGTATCATCATATCATCATTATCATATAATAAAAAGAAGAATAAAAAAATTGAGTCACATGTTTGTTTATTATTGCTGTAATTCTAAACAAAGAATTTATCATTTACTTTTACTATTTCTTTGTTTTCCCGGTAACAACAACAAGGACCAATCTCACTCAAAAACCCTAATTTTCCCCCATTCACTGATTTCAAGGTTTTCGTTTCCCTCTGTCTCACTCTAACCTATCTCATCAGCGACCGTTATTGGTCAAATAGATCAATCGTAGTTGAAATTTCCTTCTTTTTTTTGGTTTTGTGTTTTCAGTTTATCGACAATACTAGTTCGAAGAGTTTGAGCTCTGTCCTTCGACTTCAATGGCGGAGGACCACAAAGATGCGAGTGATTACAGTTCGGAGGATGAAGGAACTGAAGATTACAGACGCGGTGGATATCACGCGGTTCAGATTGGCGATACTTTCAAAAATGGGTGCTATGTGGTTCAGAGTAAGCTTGGTTGGGGGCATTTTTCTACTGTTTGGCTCGCTTGGGATACTCACAAATTGGTTTGTACCCTTTTCATTTTCTTTGTTTCCTTGGATTAAAAATTTATGCTTTTGGCTTTTATGATTGATAATTAAGTTTAGTGTTTTTAGATTATGAAGGGGTGTGTCAATGTTTCTGTGATTGACAGCTTTGACCAAAATGTATGCTTTGTTTTATGTTTTCTATGGATTTTTCAACTAATACATGGATTAGGAGATTTTGCTACTTGATCTTCTGGATCATTTTATTCTAACTATTGCCATTGGATTCTAGCGCAAGTAGGTGGCAAGACTCCGATTGTTGTAAACCCTAGGGTACTGAGTTTTGTTCTCGCAATATGTATGTGTTGTGTGTAAAATTAAGTAAATAAAGTTGATTTTGTAATTAGTTATTCATGCTTCCGTTGCATTGATTCTCTTTCTGATTTGTTAATTGTTGGTCGTATCTAGGGTGTGTCATTTGCGTTCTTTTCATTCAATGACAATTTGCTTTGTGAATATGTTTGTTGACGCCCTAGATCACACACATGCTATGGTATTTCATTTGAATATCTATTAACTATGGGGGAATTATTTATTATGTAGCGATATGTTGCCTTAAAAATTCAAAAGAGTGCTCAGCATTACACTGAAGCAGCAATGGATGAAATAAAGATTCTCAAACAAATTGCTGAAGGGGATGTAGAGGATAAGAAATGTGTTGTGAAGCTTTTGGACCACTTTAAGCATTCAGGGCCTAATGGCCAGCATGTTTGTATGGTTTTTGAATTCCTTGGTGATAATCTTCTCACACTTATCAAGTATAGTGATTATCGGGGTATTCCCCTTCCCATGGTCAAAGAAATTTGTTACCATGTTTTGGTCGGTTTGGATTATTTGCATCGTGAGCTCTCTATAATACACACTGATTTGAAGCCCGAGAATGTCTTGATTCTCTCTCCAATAGATCCATCTAAGGATCCTAGAAAATCAGGAGTCCCACTTATACTTCCAAAAGCCAAAGATAAGACTGTGTCCAAGAATGGGACAACAAATGATAAAAGTTCGAATGGAGATCTAACCAAGAATCAGAAAAAGAAAATGCGCAAAAAGGCCAAAAAAGCAGCTCAGAAGGAAGGTCCCGAGGCAGCAGAGGAGGATTCTGAAGCACCTGAGCAAGATAATTGTAGTAATGATGTCAAACCAAGTGTAGAAAATGGTGAAGGTAAACCTAACAGTCCTGCAAGTTTAGCTGAATCAGCAAAGACTTCTGAAATTCAGGATGTTCCACAAGGAAGTCAAGTTTCTAGAAGAGGTAGCCGCTCCACCAGAAAAAAGTTACTTGCTGCTGTTGATCTCAAGTGCAAGCTGGTGGATTTCGGTAATGCTTGTTGGACGTATAAACAATTCACGAATGATATTCAGACAAGGCAGTATAGATGTCCTGAGGTTCTTCTTGGTTCCAAATACTCAACTCCAGCTGATATGTGGTCCTTTGCTTGCATTTGCTTTGAGCTTGCCACTGGTGATGTTCTTTTCGATCCTCACAGTGGTGATAACTATGACAGGGATGAGGTAACCTGTTTTGAATTTCAAAAGAATTTGTTGGCTTTACTTCCTCTATACTTTTTTCTTTGTATATATCTTCTGTCTTAGGAATTTGAAATCCATGTGAAAAATAACACATTCTGAGGAAATAGTTTGTTGAAATGCTGCTTCTACTTTTGTGCTTCAAAAGTGTGTTCAAGTTGGTAAAAATGAATAGTTGTGACCAAAATAGTCTATTTGAAAAATCAATTTTACTCCAACCAAGGATTTTTATGTTACTTATACTCTGTTTTGTTTTCTGAAAGTCGAGATAGTGGGGTAGAACTTTTGAAATATGCGATCATGCTACTAGATCACTCAGAAGGCATTTCTTCAAAGAAATGAACTCGTGTCTATACTCTAGCATTATGAAATTATTTTGGTCTAAAGATGTTGCACTGTTTTCAATTTTTAATATGTTTGTTGTTTATTTTGTTGATGTTTTTAGAATTGAATCTTCACTTGTTTAAATTTGCTGTAAATTTTATTGGGGATACTAAAATCATACATTTTCCTTAGAAATAATGCACACCGATAAATTTATTTTTATACCCATTGAAAATGCTGTCAATTCTTATTCTCTTGGTAAAAAATGTACAAAAACCTGAAATACTGCTGTGGACTGTGATTATTTGGACTTCAACTTTAATTGATGATTTAGTTTGATGAGATTTCTAAATTTACTCTTCAGGACCATCTGGCATTGATGATGGAGCTTCTTGGAATGATGCCCCGCAAGGTAGGCATGTTAGGTGTTATGCTGCAAAATGTCCAAGCTGTTATATTATCAATTTGCATCTTGATATCTTGATATGCACAAGGAGAAAAATATTGCGCACTATAGAGGCTTCATTATCCCGCATTTTATTCAGTCACTTCATTATAGACACCATTCTTAGTCCCTATTGAATATACTCTTTTTCTGTCTATGATTCTCAATTTTGAATTTATTAGTAATTTAGTATAAACATTTTATTTGTTCCCATCCTCACGAGTTGAGCAATTACTTTGTTTAGATTGCACTTAGCGGCCGCTATTCCCGGGACTTTTTCAACAGATATGGCGATTTGAGACACATACGTCGGTTGCGGTTCTGGCCTATCACTAAAGTGTTGACAGAGAAATATGATTTCAGTGAGCAAGATGCAAGTGACATGGCTGACTTCCTAGTTCCGTTACTTGACTTTGTTCCTGAAAAAAGGCCAACGGCTGCTCAGTGCCTCAATCACCCATGGATGAGTGCAGGTCCTCGAACTCTTGAGCCCTCTTTGACTAATGTGCAACCTGATGCTATTAACGGAGAAAAGTCTCTAAAGTCTAGGGAAAAAACCGAGCATGAGGCTGTTGAAGTTGGTATGGGGAATATGGCGATTGATGGAACTCAAAAGTCACTCAAAGATTTTCAACCTACAAAGTCTTTGGAGTAGAGACAATTTGGCTTATGCAACCTGTTGCTTTTATATGGTAAGTTTTGATAGTCCTTGGAGCATGATATTCTATTTAACCGTTATTTTCTAAGTACTATGTGCAAATGAGTCATACTTAAGAGGTTATGATTTGTGAAACCCTTCATAGAGTAGAGCAAAGGAAGCTGGATGGATACCTGTTACAATGGAGTTTAACCACTTCTTTCACCTCTTACAAAAGTGTGTAGAAGATAGCTTCCTTCACATTCAATAGAGTGCACATCATCATCATCCCGAGAATATTTTAATTTTTTGGAGAGTTTGTTTGATATTTATCTCTAGATTAGGTGTTCATCTTCTAAAATGTTATATTTTAGGAATTTGAACTGTACATTTGAATGAGTTCTTTTTTTTTTTTTTGTATCTATATCAGATTTTGTTGCTATAGACATTACTGTGACATGTTTATTAATTTTCAACATTTTTAATAATTTTACTTTCGGGGATTTCTGACCTAAAACTTATCTTTGGATTCATTATACACGTGATTTCACACAATCATAATTACTAGGTTTGTTTCACAAACAAGGGATGTTTTGAGTGAATTTCAAACAAATTGAGTGAATTTTATTACCGACTCAATATAATAATTGTTTTTTGTCATTCATTCTAAAATATATCAATTTTAAATGTTAACTTAAAAAAATTATTGTGATATATTTATGAAAAAGTGTTAAAATTACACTATCTTATTTTGGAATCTTGTTATGTGTTACTATTGCATTTGCTTCTATGATCGTATACAGAATTTTTTATCAATACTTTAGTCAATTTGTTTTAAATAAAAAAACAAATTTGTAAACATATGCTTTTCCAACTTTCTTGAATCTCAATTTAGTTACTCAAAAAGACTGAAGTTTCTAAGCTTAAAACAAAACTTGAGTTTCTTGCGTCAAAAGTGGGTTAGACAACATGTGCTCTGTCTAAAATATTTTTCTGATTATGAAGATGTATCTACATCTTCAGACGTATTTTTTCTCAATTTTTTAAAATTAATTTCGTAAATGCATCTATGGAATATTTCCGTATCCGTTACGAAAGAAAATCAGAAATAAAATATTAGAAAATCAACATTGTAATGATAAAATCAACATTTATAAAATAAAATTGGTCTTACATTGATGATTTCGATAGAAATTTAAATACTACATTTCAATATTCTGGTGGACGTTTGCATATCTCTAAGATATCATCGACCGTTCTTCGGATCGTTGCCTCCAACTCGAGCGGAATTTTATCTTTGAAATCAAAATACGTTTGCCACATCGCCCTAACATCGTCTTGATTCTTGAGCTCAAACTTGCTGTAAACAACGTTCTCTTCGTTGTCAACTGAAGGTGAACAATACTCAAGTTTCACAACCTTTCGTTTGTCATTGTAAAGTAGGCGATATTGGATCTCGACTATGATATGGCGAGGGCGTGAGATCCATGAGCTTAAACGTCCTCTTAGGTGTTTTTCCGTCGGAAAAGGAGACACTTGCGATATACCAACGAATCTTGATTTCAAACAATTGAGACATTTTTGTATTTATGTGAAACATAACAAATGAAACCCCAAATTTATAGAAAATTTAGGTGAATATGGACCAACCATTTTCTGTCAAACTTTTTTCCGGAGCTATATCCACGGAACGACCCCATAATTATTGGTTTTAGAGGTGTATCTCCGGAATTTTCTCTGAAACTGCAAAATTAAGAACCTTCCGTAGGTACACATCATAATAAACAAATAAAAGGCATAAGTGCATAAATAAGGGATAAGAATAAAAAATGACTATTTTGCACTTCAAAAATTTTACAATTAGCCGTCCGATTATATAAGAATTCAAAATGAATCAAAACAAGTGCCACCGGCTAAATCTGTTGGTGGTACCCCTTTGGACTTTTCCACATTCGATTCCTTTTCAATGTTGTTCAATCTTTCGAATTCGTGCATCCTTTCAACAAAATGATCTGACCACGTCTCGGCATTTGCGGTTGAATGAGCCGTCCATTCCGGTGATGTAGGTGGTATGGGGCATCCCAGTTTAAAGTAAACTTGTACAAAATGTCTTGATTTTGCAAGCCATCCAATACACATGATGCGGTCATTTGAATTTTAAAGTGGTGCGGTGCGAAGTGGGAAAAAGGTTTTTGAAAACCCGTATCGCTTCAAGTCAATGCACACCATATCATATGCACATGCAATAAGATGACCCATATAAGGGAAGGTCATCAATTTCGACACCGGTGCCAGACCACTCAAGCAAGGAACAAGAGATTCATAAACCGCATCGAATTTTTCTTTCTTTTCATACAACCGCGTGTACGATTCTTTATGTGTTTTCAACTCTTGGATTAGGTGATGACAGACAAACGCATGACTATCATCTCCTTTACGGAGAAAAGTCGAAACGGCTTGGTAACCGCAATTACCATCGCCTTCAACATTGACGATACGGTCGATGTATTAGTGCATAAAAACTGGCATCTCGTCGATGAATGGAATTTTCGGTAGAATTGGGGTCGGAGGCGGTTTGCTTATGCGAGCTCCTTTCATGACACTTTTTTTTTTAGATTTAGGAGTCGGTGAGCGAGGATAAATTTTGTCAACGTGCTCACAATAAGAAAGAGACCGTGTAGTCGAGTTGTCATTCGGTGTAGGCTTCATTTTCTTCGGAGCACCTTTTGTCTTTACCAATTGAGAAGGCGGTTTCATGTCGGTTGTTTGGGGATATGCAAACTTCCTCAATTGTTCTTTGATGTGGAGTTTCATATTGTCATCAACATTTGAGAATCTCTCTTGTATTGTTTCCCTTTCGGTCAAAATAGAGATATTCTATTTACCTCCTTCCCTACAACCATCATCATCAAAACTAAGTCTTTTTCAATGAGGGTAAACTTCGTCCATTCTTATTGGCTCACCTAGTTTTAACTTTTTAGCAATAACACAAGCACAAAAATACCATAGGTTTTCACAATAGTGCAACCATACTTTGCGCTATCGGAACCTACAGTTTCAACTCGTTTGTCCTCGTGAAAAATAGAGTTCAACCCCGGCCGAGACATATTGCCGATCAATTGAGAATAAAGAATGTTATCTTTAAATCGATGTTCCAATACCGTTATACTCCGACCAAATGTTGTTTGTGTCTCATTATGTTGGTTTTTAATCATGAGATTTACCGAGTTCCAATCTCGACACAAATCCCCCTTGCTATTACCCAACCAATTTTTCAAACTAGCATGGACCAACTCAACTCTATTGGTGGTTGTATTTCTAAGGTGTCATACATTATCAGTCCATGCACAAACTATCTTCTCCTTCACCTGATTAAGAATGGTGATTTCAACGTATTTCAATAAAGCAGGATACATTTCACACTCTTTCCGAAATTGAATGACAGAATCGACATATAATTCTTTTGTGCAAGAATTTAGTATATGATTCAATGCATCCATTATTTTTTCAACAATCATACCGGTCTTCACCAATTTTCCATCTTCGGACTCTACTTGTTTCACCCCCACCGCGGGTTTAACCCGACTTCTCACATTCTTTGTTATATGATATCGACAAAGTAATGCATTAGAAGAAGGAAATACCTTTGCAACCACATTCATCAACGCGGTATCGCGGTCGGTAACAATCGCTTTAGGCATCTCAACTTGGTCCTTAAAAGTGACCGATACACCTCCAATGCCCATGTAAAATTGTCCTCTTTTTCACACTCCAGAAAAGCAAAACCAACGACATATGTCTTCTCGGTAGATGTAACACCAACCATCTCAAATAAAAGAAGTCTATTCTTGTTGGTCTTGTAGGTAGAATCAAGAATGAGCATTGTCGAGAACATGTTGAACAACTTTATCGAATCCGAATGAGTCCAAAAAATATCTCGGATCGTAACTCCATCGTTGCAAGTTCTGTACAGGGACACGTAACTGTTATCATCCAACAATTTCAACAGTTGTTTCATCTCACTTATATCTCCCCTAATCGCCTTGTTGGTGTGGTACCTAATGTTATACACTTGCCTTATATTTGATATATTATCGGATTCCTTCCATTTCAATGTGGAAAATATATTTTTCGGTTGGACAAGATTCAAGGTCATGTCACTAATACATGTCTTTTCTTCCGCCTTGAGCCGACATGCACTAGGATGACCTTGTAACTTTAAGCACAATTCATGGTTATGAAAACCACAAATAAGAATAAATTTCCATTTTTTGGTACTCAACATGTAACCACGAATCTGTAGAAGCAAGCTTCAAGGCCTTTATGTTTTGATGAAGACAAACTAGTACAAGCTTGGTACGCAAGATACTTATACTATACACTCGTAGGGGTATATATTGAAGATTAAACCAGAAGCACCTTTCTTCTGAATTCTTCGCAAAAAGCAAGAGACGCAAGCAATTTAAAGAACATCAAGATCAAGGAAAGTACCATCGCGTATGACTTTATGGATCAAAGCTTCGCCTACAAGTTACAAGTAGTGATGATGATTCAAAGGAACGGTATAACATTTTTACTTTAGAAAATTTATACAAGTGTTCTTAAAAATCATTTTTCACTGCACAATTATCCCAACACTTTCAAAACATTTTTAAAATACTCATTCTATTTAAAATTAAGTATTTTCAGAAAAACCTTCAGTGTTAATCGATTAACACTTATGGTTAACCGATTAACACATTTCTAAATTATGTGTTTTTGGATTTTACAACAGTGTTAACCGATTAACCATATGGGTTAACCGATTAACACATATAAATTTCAAATATTTTGAACGTTGTAAAGGTGTTAACCGATTAACCCTTTTGGTTAACTAATTAACACTGTAACAACAAGCAAAAATGGCAGCTGTTCATGGCAAATTGCATTGTTTAAAATTCTTCTTACTGGCTATTTTTGTTGTTACAAAATCACACCTATTTGGAAAGGTTTTTCACTCATATAAATTGATTTCATTTCAAAATCAAAAACAACCTTCTTGAAACAAAATTACCAAAACTACTCACTTTCTAAAAATCTGAATTTTCATTCTAAGTGTTCAAACACCAATTTTTGAAAGAAGCCATTGATTAAATTTTCACACTCTCACTGCTGTCTTTCACAAAGAACACTTGTGTATCTTATCTGAGTATAATTTGTTTTGAGAAGAAGATCAACCTTGCAGATTGATAAACAACTTTCCATCAAATATTTTCTCAAGAACATTTTTGTGTATTACCTTGTTTTCCAGGACTGTTGGAAACAAGTGAAGTGTCTTGAAGAGGATTGTTCTTCAACACTTGGAATTACCTATAGGTTTAGATAGTAAGCATCACAGTTGTGTGATTAGGCTTTGCAATTATTATGAACTATAGTGAAATTCTCTTTCGAGTCGAAAAGGGAGTGGAGTACCTTCGGAGTGTGAAGGGAACCACTATAAATCTTCCTGTGTCTCTTTTTCTTTCCTGCCTTTACTTCCGTCATTAA